TGACTAAGTTTTGGCTGACTACTAACCATATGAGAACCAAGTCCGAGAATATGAGATCTTGTGACTTTTTCAAGAGATGTGAGAAACTGCCATTTTTGTGTAATATGCCAATCTCTATTATATCATGTAGAACAAACAAAGACTCTGTGTGGGTTCAATCTAGCCTATAGGCAGCTAGTTTCCAACTTCTGTTCTAAGGTTTCACAGCAAAATAAATAGTACATGCAGGTTACCAGGATTAGAAAAGCAAGAATCTTGGAAAGCCAACATAAAGACAGAGGCTGGGCCAATGAGTCAGGGAAAAGGGGTTAATTTTTAGGGGCAGATAGTCTAAAGGAGTTGGAAAAGTCTATCAGAAAAATCTGACAGGAATTCTGGAAAAGTTCTACTGCAAGGAGGCATAGGTCAAGAAAAACTAGAATGTGTAGGGACGCTATCTGATTTAGGGGGGAAAAAGGGGAAAGTGGGGATATATCTGTAAATAAACACAAGTTATTTCACCTCTTTATGCCTTAATTTCCTTGTCATTAAAATAATAACAGAGTGCTGGGTACAGTGGCACAAGCCTATAATTACAGCAGCTCAGGAGGCAGAGGCAGGAGGATTGCAAATTCAAAGCCAGCTTAAGCAACTTGATGAGACCTTGTCTCAAAATAAAAAATGGGCTAGGGATGTGGCTCAGTGATTGACTGTCCCTGGTACAATCAATCAATCAATAAGAACTTATTTCATATGGCTGTCGTAAGGATTAAATAAGGTGGCTATTCAGGTAACTGTCATTACCCCTGGCATGTGTAATGTTCAAAAAGTTAGCTATTATTTATGATTTCAAGGCATTAAGAGGTAAAGTAGTTTATTAAGGATCATGTGGCTATTAAGACGTACTGCCTGGATCTATACCCATATGTGTGGCTTTGGATCCCATACTCTATAAGCCATTAAGTTTTTCTGTGTTCCCATACCTTGCTAGGCTAGTTTTTTAATCTGTACAATGAGGAAATCGGTGAAAACTAAATTCTTTTCTACAACTGACATTTTATTCTTCTTGCTAGCTCTCTAATCAGTTTATTTCAGGGCAGAAGTTGAACATAAATGTCTCTGCTCACACATTTATAGGCTATCAAACTAAAGTAGAACATTATTGATTAGGCTTGAAATAGGCTACAGAAATCATTTAAAAATTGAATAATCCATAGGTTCAGCCAGAAAGGACTCAACATAAGGCTTACCTCATGGCTTCAAGGAGGTTATATTCGTTTCCAGAAGGCCAATAGCCCTTCCAAGTAGGCCCTGAATTCACCCACCTACATGTCCATGCTATTATAAGCTGGAAGTCACTAATAAGGCTGGTAAGGAAACAAAATAGGCTCTAAACCTAAAATGGTCAGAACATCAAGCAACTCTTATCCTTTTGAGGCCAAGGGTCTCTATGAGAACCTGGACAAAGCTTTTGTTCCAAGGGAAAAAAAAAATGCTACATATGATTGCTCAAATAGGCACCTATAATTTCACCTGTAATTTTAAGGGGTTCACAAATACCCTAAAATCTCTCCCTATACTTTATCCCTAAAGTGCACCTATCCTGTTCCAGGCTTGTCCTCCCACCCAAGGGACTCAGAATCGCCCCAAGATCTGGGATAGGGTTTCTAGGCAGCTGTGCTCAAGAGACAAATTATCTACTGCAACTCAGCATAATTAATCCTATATGGAAAAGACAAAGCGCCTTCTCTCCCTCCTCCATACCAACTTGCACTGAGGGAATCTGAACAGAAAAGATCTGTAATTTAATTCACAAAATCCACTTTGTGAAATTAAGAAGTATTCTAAGAATATGTCATGCTCTTTTCTACCTGATGCCCAGAGAGCATCACTGAATATTAGAAGGGTTAGAATAAACAGGCAAAAACATCCTAGTTCCCTTGGCACTGTGCTCCTCCTTTGATTAAAAAAAAAAAATCAGTCAAGATTACCAAATAGCTTTATTAGGTGACTCTTTTCCCTCATGTGCTTTGAAAATTATATGTTACCAAAGTAACCACAAAACCTCAACCATAGCTAAAGAAGAAATAAAAACAAGAAGCTATAATTTCCCTCTAAAATGTTAGAAACACTTTCAATGTTGGTGAGGGTCTGGAGAAACACATAATCTCAAACACAGTTGGTAAGTTTGTAAGTCAATGCAGCTTTGGTGGTGGGGGTATAGTTGACAATTTTTATCAAAAATATAAAAACACACTATTCTTGGGCTGAGGATGTAGCTCAGTTGGTACAGTGCTTGCCTCGAATGCACAAGGCCTGGGATTCAGACCTCCACCAAAAAAAAAAAAAAAAACCCAAAAAACAAAAAATACTATTCTGAATTCCTAAAGATATTTTGCAAAAGTAGGCCAAAACAGGTGTGCAAACATGTTCAACGTAGCCTTGTTTATAGAGGCCCCAAATTGGAAACAAGTACTGGTTTTTAGATATGTCACATTAATGGGACATCACATAGCCATTAAAAGAATGAGCCAAATCTGTAAGTGCTGATAAGAAAAGATCTCCAGGACATGTTAATTGAAGGTTCGGAGGAGTTGAGAATAGTGGATATTACAGGCTCTTTCAGTTTCTTTTTCTTCTTTTTTAGTGGTATTGGAAATCAAACCCAGGGGCACTTTACCACTGAGCCACATCCCCAACCTTCATTTTTATTTTGAGATAGGGTCTCATTTAATTGCCCAGGCAGGCTTCAAACTTGTTGTGATCCTTCTTCCTCAAGTCTCCTGAGTTGCTGGGATTATAGGCATGTGCCACCATGGCCAACAGTCTAATTTTTTTAAAGTATACATATGCATGCTAATATCTGCATTAAATTATGTCTTGGAAAGACACTTTTTTCACTGTTGTTACCTTTGGAGAGAATAAGTAATTAGAGACCTGGAAGTAGAAGAGCCCATCTTAATATACAAACATTCAAAACGCATGTCAGGGTTCTTCTTTCTTTTTTGTTTACCTTTAAATACTTAAATAATTGTATGTATAAAACTCTAAATGTCAGTGTAAAACTAAAATAATAATCATCATTTAGAAATTTTATTAAGAAAGAAGCCCTTTGTAAGTTTAACAAGGAAAGGGGAAAAGGGCCCATACGATGCACAGCAATAAACTAGTGGAGAAGACTGGAAGAGAATCAAGAGTAGAATTAAGACACTCCTTCCCCCTCTTCTCTCAAGACACTGCTGACATGAATTACTCAAGCTTTCCACTGGAGATGAAATAGCTCAGTGCCCCACTCCTGTTGCCAGCTATTCATTGCAATTTTAAGTGAAGGAGATAGTACATTAGGAGAAAGTTGGCATAATCAGTCCAAACCCTGCCTTTTGTAGTGTGGATAAGGCAGAACAGTTGTTCCTAGAAAGCATGAGTGGTAGAATACTCTGCTGATGAATATTATCTTCCTTGAAGACAGCAGATCTCCATAAGCACACAGTGCAAAGGCACATTAGGGGCCTGCCATTACATGCACTGGAAAAACAAGAGCCAAGTGTATATAAAACAGAAAGGCCTAGCAAAAGCTTTGCTGTCCTGTGGTACCTCAGGGAGCCCTGCTCAACACTAGGGACACTCCCTGCCTACACAGATCTGCTGTAATAGTTTCAACTCCCTTTGACTGCCTCATAGAGAGAATTAAGTGAGACAAAAAGTCAAGGAAGATAATTCTCTATACTTAACTGCTCTTTCATCTGAGGCCCATAAAGTATAAACTAACTTACTTCCATTACATTCTTCTATATATTCTTTATTTTTATTTTATTATTTTTTAAATATTTATTTATTTATTTTTTTAGGTGTAGGTGGACACAACACAATACTTTTATTTTTATGTGGTGCTGAGAATCAAACCCGGGTCCCACCTGTGCTAGGCGAGAGCTCTACTGCTGAGCCACAATCCCAGCCCCTATATATTTTTAAAATATTTATTTTTTAGTTGCAGTTAGACACAATATGTTTATTTTATTTATATGTGGTGCTGAGGATCGAACCCAGGGCCTTACATGTGCTAGGCACGCGTCTACCACTGACCTACAGCTCCAGCCCCAGCCTCATCTTCTATAATATTGCTTTACAAAATGAAACTGCCTCCCCATAGGATTTCCAGAAAAGCTAGCTGTCTTTTATAAAGCAAGGTCAGCTTTATGTACAGGTGCCATAAAGGTTATCCTTCCCTCATGGGATTTTCATGAAAGAACCACCTACTCAACCCCATTTCCACATCTTTTAATGATGCTTAAAATTCACCCATTAATGACTTATACCACTAGGTCAAGATTGTCCAAGGTGTGCTTATTTAATAATGAAATCAGAAGGAAAATATACTAGGTCCACAAAATTACAGTGCAGTGGCTCTTAAACTTTTGTGGTCACTGGTCCTTTTTGAGAAATTGATAAAGCAAACAAATTTCCTTCTCAGAAAAATACACTTACATTTATATAATTTGGGGGCTCACAATTTAGAGGAACTCCTTCCTGTGGTTAAGAACCCCTGGTTTAACAGCAGTGAGTCTGGCAAATCCTTCTCCCCGTGGACTGCACATGTAGGGAATGCCAGGCCTCAAGAAAAAAGGCAGGACTGAAGCTACTTGGGGTAGGAGGATCACAAGTTCAAGGCTAGCCTCAGCAACTTAGGGAGACCCTGCTTCGAAGCAAAATAAGAATCCTGGTGTGGATGCATGCCTATAATCCCAGCAGCTCAAGTGGCTGGGGCAATTACTTCATGTAATTGCCTAGAACTGACCCCATCCAGAATCCAGATTACAACTTATAACTCCTCATCAGCAATGTCTGTGGATTTCTCATTTTGTTGCCTGCTTGGAAATAGGTTCTTTTGGCTTCAGAAACATCAGTGCATGTTAAGAGATGCCTAATTGAGACCAGCTGTCAAACAAGTTCACAACACTTGCTGGCTAATCACTTTACCTGAGAAATAAGGGAGGGGAAAATGTGAATTAAGAGGGGCTCACCTCTGAGGTTTTCGGATATCCCAGAGTCCCACTCCTTCCTTTGAATTGGCTGTGGCCAATAACCTGGGCTCCACAGGGTTAAACATGACACTGTGAAAGGCTGATGGGTAGTTTGCCAGGCAGAAGGGCTCTGTGAAAAGAGAAATTATGATTGGTTCATTCTAGTCATCTTTGGGTCAATGGCAGTCAGATGAGTATAAACGTATGAATCCAAGTAGGAGCATACTTTTGCATAATCCCCCCAAAGAACCAGAACCCCAACATAGTACACATCACCACAGATACCTTTCCTCAAATTCCCTCCTGAGTCCTTCAAACACTTCTTCATGCAGAAAATACAACAACAGTAATTTAAACACATTTAACCAAATTTTAAGTCACAATACTTAGAAATCATACAGTACCTGAAAAGGGGAAGGTAAACTATTTTTCAGTTAGTTAGTAAAACTGAATTCCACATGAGCTAAAAAAATTCATGATCAGTTTCTGGTACAATTATTACAACTTTAATCCAAATTTATTAGTCTAAAAAAATAAAAGTTTTAAAACTGCAGTAGATTCAGTGAAGACAAAGCCAAACAGTGAAAAAAATTAAGATAGTGCAAAACAATAGTAAAAGGTTGTTTTTTAAAATTTTAATTTTTCTTTTATGGTTTGCAATGCCTAAATGGCTTAGTGTTTATTTTTATGATTTGACTTCCAGTTTTAGAATGTGTGTCAAGAGGGTAGGTATTGGGGATTCAACCCAGGGCTTCATGACCACACACTCTCCCCTGAGCTATAGCCCCAGTCCTTTTTTTATTTTATTTATTTATTCATTTATTTACCTTCCCCCCCAACCCAGTACTAGGGATTGAACACAGAAGCATTCTACCACTAAGCTACATCTGCAGTCCTTTTTATTCTTTATTTTGAGATAGGGTCTTGCTAAGTTGCCCAGGATATTCTCAGACTTGAGATCCTCCTGCCTCAGCCTCCTGATTTGCTGGGATTATAGGCATGCATCCACACCAGGATTATGGGTATGTGCCACCATGTCCCACTAAAAATATTTTTTTTAAAAATCTAATACTTGAACTTCTTTTGCATTCAGTCAGGTCCCAGTCAACTTCACCTACAACCCCTGTGTCCATCTGTATTAATTATCAGGCCCCAAGTGAGGAAGGAATCACTTTTATGGAACCTGTTAGAGTGAAACACAGAAAGCACTTTTCAGTCTATGATTTCCAAATACATTACTACATAAGTCTCTAAGCAGGTGAAGTACTCGCAGTCATCAGGCAGTGCAAACAAAGGAAAATCTCATCTACTAATCACATAGAGATTGAGCTATAAGTGCTTCTTGCTGTAACCTGACCTGCCTGACCCTAAGGACAAGCTTCTATGATAGCCTGAACCTCAATAACAAGCACAGCCCAGCATGTTACATGTTTGAAATATAGAAAAATAAAAAGACCTAGACCCAGCCAGATGAAGCAGGCAGGCTAGTAAACTCGGTGTACATAGGTGTTATCATTACACAGCCAAACTAAAGGGGAGAGGTGGGCATGACAGTGGCACTGGAGGAAAGGGCCTTTGAAGACAGAGAGAGAAATCCCTCTGTAGGAAATGAGCCAAGAAGATGCCATTTCCTGAAGAACTTCAGAGAAAGTCATCAAAACAAGTTCTTCAATCACACATCAGAGACTGAAAGAGCACACCTGGGGGCATTCACAAGACAATTTTCATACAGAACATATTTGCCATCATTTTACAATCCTACATGCAGGTAAGGCAAGGTTCTGTGAGTTTCTTCAACAAAAGAACAAGCCTGCAACTAAGGTTGCAAGAAAGTGTACAGCACCCCCGTTCTCTGTAAACAACTAAGGATCTATGCATGTCAGCACCACACATAGCTGGCCTTTGATGGTTACCCTCCACAATGAAGTGCCACATCTTCTGCTTCTTGGAGCCACTAACAGCCAAGTGCAAGGGTGCATAAAAATTCACAGGTGGGTGGAGATGAGCTGACAAAGATGCCCCACTTCTGACTACTTAGGGCAGTATGGGACCTCCAAAGACACTGTGCTGCCATGTGACTCACATTTTCTCTCCTTTGACAACATTCACACTCAAATACTCAGGTCACAGCAAAGAACTTGACATCAAACTGTACACACAATCCAGTAGTCTTTTGTCCAGTGACCCTACCTCCATGGGGAGACTCCCGGATGTCCCAAATGAGAACCCGACCATCATCTGAAGAGCTGGCAAAAATGTTGTCATTTACTGGGCTCACTGATAAGCCATATACTGCATCTTCATGAGCAAACACATCCAAGGTCTCGCTGCTGAGAAAATGAGAGCAAGAGAAAGGCACACAGGCACACACATACACACAAACATAGCAGAGTCCCAGCTCTCTGGCACCTAGGGTGCAGTCTCTCTTCTTAGGAGAAAGTCAGCCTAGCTAAACCTAAAGGATACTGTATTTCCTAAAAGGTAAATGTTCAACTTGCAAATGAAAAAAAAAAAAGTACTATCAAAGCACTATTTTTATAGATTTCATAAGAATTTTAAAAGTGACTCGATGGTGAAGTTTTGTTTTTTTATTTATTACAGAATGCATCTGTTTATGTCCAGATTTGAGGGTGGTATTTGATTTCCAAAAAGCAAAGGAAAGCTTTAAAGCAGGCTGAAGTAATATAGCAGAAGTGGGAGAGAATCTTCTAGCAGTCTGGCATGTTGATTAATAGCACAGCTCTACCCAGACTGCCTAAGTTTAGATCCTAGCGTCACTTGACTTTAAGTGACTTAACATCTCTGTGCCTCTGTTTCCACTTCTGTAATGCAGATCACACTATCCTTCACAAAATGATTGAGGGTTAAATGAATTAATACTTACAAAGCACTTAGAATGATGTCTGGCACATGACAGTAAGAAGTCAATAAATATTAGCTGTGATTATTATTAAATATTATTTTTCATCCTCTTTCAATCATTCCCTTAAAATTTTCACCTAAAAAAACTAATTTCATACCAACTCTGCAAATTCCTTTTTCTTCTTATAAATCAAACTTTATTTCAAAATTATTATGGAATGTATTTAGAAAAGGACCAATGTTTCATGTTGTTTTCTTCAAAAGATAAAAACAATTTTGGTCTAAAGAGATATTTTCCTCTCTTCCTGTGAAAAATAGTCAATCACCTTCACACACCAACAACATATTTACCTTTCAACATCATGAAGGATAACTTGCTCATCATTTCCTGTAAAGGAAAAAAAGTAGAATCTGATAATTCCTGCTAGTTGGTCCCTATCCACATTACATGAAGAATTTAAGTTCTAAGGGTAAAAATATGAACAGTCAGTGTTAATACAAGTTAGGAGTGTTTACTAAGAAAAGGTTTATAATAATTTAAGGATAGGACATTCTTTATTTTTAAAAAATATTTATTTTTTAGTTGTAGTTGGACACAATACCTTTGTTTTATTTATTTATTTTTATGTGGTGCTAAGGATCTAACCCAGGGCCTCGCACACACTAGGTGAGCACTCTACTGCTGAGCCACAACCCCAGCCCCAGGATAGGACATTCTTATAGAGATTTTTAAAAACTTAAGCATAATAAGGATAACATAATAACTGTTCCCAAAATGTAGTATTTAGTGGATTAGGAAGAACCTTCAAGGAAATTGTAAATGATCTAATAATTCATTCACCCAAATTAGCTTCCTGCCCATCACAAGCAAAACTCTCCTTAACTATGAACCTGGAATGAAATCTCTAACATTTTTATGCCTCAGCTGTTTATCTGAAAATAGAGATAATAACTGCTTCTACTTCATAAGGCTATTGTGAGCATATGAGTCTGTAAAAGCATTCAAAATAGGGCAGAACACTTGATAAGTCCCCAATAAATGTCTGCTACTATTCCTATCCTCTTTATATTTTATAGCATTAAAATTTGATGGTAATGTGATTTTAAATGATGGGATAGTTTTTCTCTACAACATTTTTCTTTTGCAGTTCTCCTCATTCCATTAAAGGATCTAAAAACAGTACATTCATTATACATCTTCAAATGGTTCATATAGCTAAAATATAAAAATCTAAATGAAAAGGCAGAGAGTAAAAAAATATCCTACTGTATGCTTAAATAGACAACCAACAGTCACTTAGATAGAAAGGCACAAAGAGCAGTAAAGATGTGACTCAGGTCATCTTAAATTTCAAAGCCTTAGCTGTAAATTCTACCATGAAATCAATAAACCCATACTGGTACCTTCTTGGTGCCAGGCACATGCTAGGTATTGGGAGAATTATAAGATTAAGATTCTGCCCAGTCCTTGAGGAGCTGATAGTCCAATTGCACTATTAAGGTGGAAGAACAATATGAACAAAAGGCACAAAGGTAAAATACTATAGTGCATATGCATAGTAGTTTAGTGGACCAAGTACATTTCATGGGCAAGGGAAATAGGCTAGGGATAGATTGGAGTTTAGACTGTAAATGGTGGGCACTGTAGGTCAAGGATTCACGTGGTCAAATCTTTATTTTTAAATGAAAATTTATAAAAGAAATGCATGAGAAGGAGAGGTAGAGATTGGTGGCAAAAATCACACAAGGCCAATGCAATTGTTGAGGCCAAAGATGAGGACTTAAATCAGAGCAGTGGGAATAGAAAAGATGAGGATCTAAATCAGGGAAGTGGGTATAGAAAAAAAAAAAAAACAGAAACTAAAGGATGAGTAGAAAGAGCTTTTGAGATAGATCTGACAGGACTTTGTGACTGACTATATATGCAAATGAAAGAAAGGCAGGTTTGAGGATGAATTTCAAATGAACCATTTAAAATTGCCATTTGTATAAGGCCATTTTTATATGGCCAAAGTCAGTAGTTTTTTCTATCTTAGTATTCTGTTGCTTTTTTTTTTTTTTTTTTCAGCGCTGGAGATTAAACTCAGGGCCTAACATGGTAAGCAAGTCTGAACTATATTTCCAGCCCAATATTTAAATTGCTTTTAGAAAATAGGTAGACATTCAATGGGAAAATATGTAACTCCAAATGAAGGTCAGGGCTAAAACTGTGGAACAGAGAGGGGTGGTTGATGAAGCCATCACCAAGAGGTTAACTTTAGCACCAGCCATTCCAATTGTTCCCTAACACAATGCTTTCAAACAAGGGTCATGACATCAAATTAAGTCACAGCCAACATCTTTTTTTTTTTTAAATGCCTTTATTTATTTATTTTTATGTGGTGCTAAGGATCAAACCTAGGCCTTTGCACGTGCTAGGCAAGCACTCTACTGCTGAGCCACAACCCTAGCCCAACAGCCAACATCTTTAATAAAACAGAATAAAAAATAAGGCTGGGCGCAGTAGCACATGCCTATAATCCCAGTGACTCGGCAGGCTGAGACAGGAGGATCATGAGTTCAAAGCCAGCCTCAGCCACCCCAAGAGGCTAAGCAACTCAGTGAGGCCCTGCCTTTAAATCAAATACAAAATAGGGCTGGGGATGTGGCTCAGTGATTGAGTGCCCCTGAGTTCAATCCCCAGTACCAAAAATGAAATAAAATGTTTCAAAAGTATGTGTGTATGTGTGTGTGTGACAAAGAGAGAGATATGTGTTCCTGTGTACCAGAGCAGTGAGAAAGAGAGAGAAGAAAGGAAGGAGAAAGACAAACCCTATATCACATATCTAAACTGCTAAAAAGACAAGCTAGAGTAAACTAGTAATACCACAGTTCAATTAAGATACAGGAAGAAAAATAGGAATTACTTAAATTCTTTTCTCTAAAATTCCAACCATAGTGAATTTCCCACAAAGGAATTTCCCTTCTTCTCACCTCCAGAGAACACTTTGGTGTTTCCACTGTTGAAAGCCAGGCAAAAAATGTTGGAATGGTGCTCTCCTTTCAGTTGTATGGGCTTGACTCTGGAGTGGATCGCTTGTTCCATATGCCACAGCAGAACCCGACGGTCATCTCCTCCTTGAGAAGGAAGTTAAGAGTCTAGGGTTAAAAGACCTGGCATTTGGCTTTGCCAGTCTCAAATATCATTCTTTCCAAAACTCCACCTCCCCAACTCCATAAGATTCTGATGGTACCTTAGCACTCTCCCCACTTAACCATGGGTACATGACCTCTAGGCCACTCACTCTCTCCCATGAATCAAATATTAAATAATATAGAAATTGAAAGGGATAAGTTCTGATATTGAAACTCACCCTGAAAGCAATCCTGTTTCTGTCTTTCCGGAGACCCAGTTTTTTAAATTGTTACCTAGAATCTTTCTAATAAGGTCCTTTTTTTTCCCCTGGTCTAACAGAATCAAAGGTAATTTTTATTACTTGCACTCAAAGAACTCTGAAGTAATATTTCTAACATAATAGCCTTCAAAGCAACTACTTTTGATATGCTTTCATTGTCTAAAGGACAGTGTACAAATGACAACTAAAAAACTACCTGACTCTAGTAGGTGCCAGACAAAACCCAGTTCTCATGATCCTTAGATGGGCTCTTACCTTCACAAAATTCCCAACAGTCTGAACTAAATAAGCAATATTAAAATGCATGAGCTACCTCCTAGAGAATGAGAACACATATGGTCTATATATTCTCTCTCTCTCTCTTTTTATTTTGCGGGGGGTAGGGGTAGTACTGGGGAACAGTACCTCCCATATGCTAGGTAAGTACTCTACCACCAAGATATATCCCACTATATTTATACTCGAAGATGTGTCAAAAATGTCTGGAAGGATTAATATATTTAACAATGGTTACTTCTAAGGAATAGAATTAGAAAGTAGAAGAAAGCTTGATTTTTAAAAATTTGGCATTGTTTGACTTTTTTAAAATAAGCCAACAAGATATTCTTTTTCCGATAAAAATGTAAATGACAACAGCAGCAAATCAGCAAACTCTGTACCTCTGCCTCTCCACCTCTATTCGATTAAAAAAAAAATACCCACCAAGGCTAGGTATATAGCTCTATAATGTGCTTAATGTGCTTAGTATGCATAAGGCCCTGGGTTCCATCCCTGACACCATATTTTGTGTCTGTGTATGTGCAGTACTGGGGATTGAACCATGGGGCACTATACTACTGAGCTACATCCCAGCCACCCCACTCCCCACTTTTTCTGTTGGTGGGCAGTACTGAGGATTGAACTCCAGGGCACTCTACCACTGAGCCACACCCCCAGCCCTATTTTGAATTTTTATTTAGAGACAGGGTCTCACTGAATTGCTTAGCGCCTTGCTTTTGCTGAGTCTGGCTTTGAATCACGATCCTCCTGCCTCAGCCTCCCGAGCCGCTGGGATTTACAGGAGTGTGCCACTGCACCCAGCCCTGGAAGCACACTAAAAAAATAAATACAATAACCACAAATTATAGCACATCACACAAGGGTATACCATAAGTATTAAGTCAGTAGATACGAGCTAATGTAGTGAGATAGCCAAAGGTCTTTGTTAAGAGGAAAAAATAAGTGTATATTTTTTTACAACTACTTTTGTAAAACAAATTTTTTAAAAAGCTCCAGGACAGGGCTGAGGCTCAAGCGGTAGCGCGCTCGCCTGGCATGCATGTGGCCTGGGTTCGATCCTCAGCACCACATACAAACAAAGATATTGTGTCCGCCGAAAACTAAAAAATAAATAAATATTAAAAATATTCTCTCTCTCTCTCTTTAAAAAAAAAAAAAAAAAAAAAAAAAGCTCCAGGACAGCAAGAACCTTGTCAGTTTTGTTCACTGTGGAATCTCCAGTATCTAATCAAGGCACAAGAGAATAGACATTGAATGAAGGGGCTTATGCTTGCGTATCTATGCTTATATTTATATAGCTATATCAAGATGGTTATAAAGAAATTGTTTATAGTGAGCATTATAACTGCTAGGCCAGAATTGGGAGACTTTTTGGTAGTCAAATATATATAATATGAAATTTAGCCATTTTTACTATTTTTTTTTAGAGAGAGAGAGAGAGAGAGAGAAAGAGAATTTTAATATTTATTTTTTAGTTTTCGTCGGACACAACATCTTTGTTTGTATGTGGTGCTGAGGATCGAACCCGGGCCGCATGCATGCCAGGCGAGCGCACTACTGCTTCAGCCACATCCCCAGCCTTTTTTTTTTTTTTATTTTTTTTTTAGAGAGACAGAAAGATTTTTACCATTTTTAAGTGTACATTTGTGTTGTTGTGCAATCATTAATACTATCCACCTCCAGAACTCTTTTATCATCACAAACTGAAATTCTAAGGAACATTAATTTCTCCCAGCCCCTAGTAACCACTATTCTACTTTCTGTCTCTATGAATTTGACTACTCTAGGTACATAATATGTATAAATCAGACTCAAAAGGATAAAACACTTATAACTTTTTAAATATTCATCTTTATTGTAGCATGCATCAGAAATTTTACACCTTTATTAGACTAAATAGTATTCTGAGTTTTATATGCTTTTACACACATATTTTGTTTAGTTATTCATCCACTGATGCACATTTGGGCTGTTTCTATATTTTGGCTACTGTGTCTAGTGTTACTTAGAACATGAGTATACAAATATCTCCTTATGAACTTGCTTTCAATTATTTTGAATATATATACTATTAAGGGATTTGGGTTTTTTGTTTGTTTGTTTTCTTTTGTTTTATTTAGTATTAACAATTGAACCCAAGCAATGCTAAGTAAGCTATCTATCACTGAGCTACATCCCTAGCCCTTTTTTAATTCCTATTTTAAGACAGGGTCTAAGTTGCTCAGGCTGGCCTTAAACTTCAATTCTTCTGCCTCAGTTTCCCAAGTAACTGGGATTACAGCATGGGAAACTTTTATGTTTTAATTTTTACATTATTTCATCCTATATTACAACTTGACCTTGTTCTTAGACATATTTTCTTTTACAATTAAAATTAATAGAAGGTGGGCTGGGTTGTGGCTCAGTGTTGGAGCACTTGCCTGGCAAGTGTGAGGCGCTGGGTTCAATCCTCAGCACCACATAAAAAACAAATAAATAAAATAAAAGTATGCTATCTATCTACAACTAAAAATATTTTTTTAAAAAATTAATAGAGCAGGGCTGAGGCTGTAGCTCAATGGTAGAGTGCTTGCCTCATACTATGAGGCACTGGGCTCAGTCCTCAGCACCACATAAAAATAAATAAAGACACTGTGTCCATCTACAACTGAAAAATATTTTTTAAAAATTAATAGAGCATACTACACACACATCCAAGAAGATACATTGTTAGTAGGACTGCAAATTAGTGTGACCACTCTGGAAAGCTGTATGGATATTTCTCAAAAAACTAGGAATGGAACTACCATTTGACCCAGTTATCCCACTCCTCTGTATATATTCAAAGGATTTTAAAAGAAATATACTACACTGACCCAGCCATATCTATGTTTACAGCAGTTCAATTCACAATAACTAAGCTATGGAACCAACTGAGGTGCCCTTCAACAGATGGATAAATAAACCATGGTATGTATACACAATGAAATATTACTCAGCCATAAAGAAGAATGATTTATGACATTTGCCAGTAATTGGATGGATCTGGAGACTATCGTGCTAAGTGAAATAAGTCAACCCCAAAAAGCCAAAGGTCTAATGTTTTCTCTGATATGTGAAAGCTAATCCATAATAAGATGTGTGGGGGAGGGATATCAGTGGAAAAGACAAAGGGGAATGAAAGAAAGGGAGGAGGGATGGGATAAGACAGTGGAATGAATCTGACATAACATTCCTATGTACATATATGAAAATACCACAGTGAATCTCACCATTGCATACATTCACAATAAAATTAATTAAAAAATAACTATAAGTAAATGGCAGAAAGAACAGTAGAGCAGAGGGAAGGGAGCAGAATGTGGAAAGAAGGGAAGGGAAGAGGAAGGGGTGGAATTAGAACAAGATATACTCCATGCTTTTATAATTATGTTAAAATGGATTCAACTGTGCTGGAGCCATGGCTCAGTGGCAGAGGGCTTCCTCGAACATGTGAGGCACTAGATTCTATCCTCAGCACCACATAAAAATAAATAAAGATATTGTGTCCATCCGTAACTAAAAATAAAAAATAAAAAAGAAGCAACCTCCAAAAAGAAAAGTTGAGAATTGGTAAATAAAGTTTCTAACCAAAAAAAAGGGGGGGGGGGGTTCTACTGTCATGTATAACTAAAAAGAAACAATAAAATTTTTAAAAATTTTAAAAAGAATTCCTTTGTTTCATGAGTTTTCTCTTCCTTTCACTGTCAGGCAAGATCAAGTTCTATATTCTCCTCTGAAGTATCATTTTCTACCAGATTCATGCCTCAAGTGTGGCCCACAGCATTCTGTGTTTACGACTTCTGTACTTCAACTACAACTTCTCTGGCCTGGGAAAGAATCTAAATTCTTTACCTCATACAAATTTACCATGGTGTAAAACATCAAGTTAATTATGAAAATAATGGTTTGGAGTCTTTATTGTTTTATTTTATTTTAATGAAAATTACAGATCTACTAACAGATCTAGACATGCTGTGAACACTTCAGTTTTCCAGAGTCCACATCCCTATTGCTTGCCCCCAACAATGTAGCCACGAGTCAGGGACTTATTACCACTTCTGCTATTGTGTTTTTTTATATTAAAGAAATACTTTATACCTATGTCTCTATCAAAAATGGAAAATTAAAGAGAGGCCATATGTTTTTTTCTATTTGTTCATGTTTCTATAATCTCCCTACACCTCAGTTTCATCAAATATAAAATGGTGACCATAACAGTTCTTGTACTCATACAGATTTTTATAAATTGAAAGTCGAGTGCAAAGGAGTTAAGTAACTTACCAAGATCATCCAGTAAGGAAAGTGGTTGAGCCAGCAGTTCATTAAGACTCCAAGGCCCTCACTCTTCATCACTACTATTAACTATCTTACAGATCAAAAAATGAATCATAACTGACAAAGAAAATTCATCTGATGGACAACTGAAGGAATTCTCTGCCTTGTAACACACTTCAAAAATGTCTAGGTATGATTAAAAGAGCAAAGAAGTAAAATGGGAAGCAGACTTAACTGGAGTAAAATAAGGGTCCTGGATGGGACTGCCTGAAAGTATAAGGTGCTAGCAATGCACAAAACTGGCAATGGGTTATCTAAAATATATAAAGAATTCCTACAATATTCATTTATTTATTGGTACTAGAGATTGAACCACTTTACTCAGAGCTACATCCCCAGGCCTTTTTTTTTTTTTGGGGGGGGGGTACCAGGGATTGAACCCAATGGTGCTTAACCACTGAACCACATCCCCAAGCCTTTTTTGTATTTTACTTAGAGATAGGGTCTTGCTGAGTCGCTTAGGGCCTTGCCAGATTGCTGAGGCTAGCTTTAAACCCACGATCCTCCTGCCTCATCCTCCCAAGCCACTGGGATTACAAGTGTGAGCCACCATGCCTGGCTCTCTAACTTGATTTTGGACCCAAAACAATCCCAATGAAACTCCCAGAAAGCTATTTCATGAATACTGACAAACTGATTCTAAAACTTATATGGCAAAAGACTGAAATAGACAGCACAATATGGAAGAAAAACAACAAAGTTGGAGGGCTGACACTACCTGACTTCAACACTGAGAGGGCAAAAATAGCCAGCATAAATACTATCAAAGGAACAAAGGCAAAATATTGGAGCAAAGATTTCTCTCAACAAATGTGCTGGAACAAATGAACGCCCACAAGTGAAAAATTAAATCTAAATACAGACCTTAAACCCTTCATAAAATTCAAAATGGATCATAGAACCAAGTATAAAATGCAAAACTACAAAACTCCTAGATGATAACAGGAGAAAATCTAGATGACCTTGGGTATGATGATGACTTTTTTAGAAATAACTCCAGGGGCTGGAGATGTGGCTTCAAGAGGTAGCACGCTCGCCTGGCATGCGTGCAGCCCGGATTCGATCCTCTGAACCACATACAAACAAAGATATTGTATCCGCCAAATACTAAAAAACAAATATTAAAAAAACATTCTCTCTCAAAAAAAAAAAACAGAAAGAAAGAAAGAACACCAAAGGCATTATTCATGTAAGAATGGATAAGCTAGATTATTTAAAATTAAAAATTTTTATTCTATAAAGACAATGTTGAAAGAATGAGAAGACAAGCCACAGAGCAGGGGAAAATATCTGCAGACATAACTGACAAAGAACTGATATCCAAAATATACAAAGAACTTATAAAACTAAACAATAAGAAACAAACAATGGGATTAAAAAAATGGTCCCAAGAC